AGATAATAAATATTCATGGAATCACTATGTTAATTATTCTGCATTATAGATTGTGTGATGTATGATGACATAAGTTTAGAAAGTAAAACTTTAATGGCATACTGTTGCTGTTTGGTGAGGTTATTTCTTGGTTCTCTAGAGCTTTGCTGTCCAATACTGTAGCCACTAGCTGCATGTGACTTTATTTTCAAGGTTTTAAAAATTATTTCTTTTAAATGCGGTGGTTTTTAGTATATTTGCAAGGTTGTGAAACAATCACAGCTATCTAATTCCAGCACATTTCATCACCTCGGAAAAATCCCCATACCTTTTGGCAGATCTTTCGTATTTCCCCCTCCCTCTTTCTCTCTTTCACAACCAGTAATTTACTTTTTACATCTGTAGATTTGTCTATCACGTGGCTTTTGAACACTTGAAATATGGCCAGTCGAAATTGAAATGAGCTATAATTGTAAATTACACACTGGATTTTGAAGACTTGGTATTAAAAAAAAGTAAAGTATCTTCAGTTTTAATTTTTATTACATACTAAAATAACTTTTTATATATTGGAGATTAATATATTATTAAAATTAATTTCTTTTGTTTCCTTTTATTTTCAGTGATTACAACAAAATTTTAAAGTATGTGGTTTATATTATATTTCTACTCTACAATGCTGGTCTAGAACTTTTATTCCCCCCGCCCCTCTTCTCTTAGGTGTTGCCGTTTCCCCTTAAGAACTGGATCTCTGAAGGCGAGGCATCTCCTCCCACACGCTTGCAGCATGCACGGTAGGGGGGGCGGGGGGAGTGCTGCTGGTGCTCCACCTGGTGCACGAACCCAGGACCTTTTGCGTGTAAAGCAGACATGCTAACCACTACACTGTGGAGCCACCCATAGAACTTATTTTTAGTAAGGACCAAAAATGTGTCCCCATGATCTCAGTTTCTCATTGTCCTGTCCTCTGTTTCCATCTGAACCCTGTTCTGGGAATGTGATGTACCCTAAGTCAGGATTTTTTTTTCCTAACTGCTTAGAAGATGGAATTTTTCTTATTTGGGGGGCCTTTAGAATAGCAGGGAAAAGATAAGTCATTTAGTTTAAATTATGAGGAAATAATGGCAACTGTTAAACTTTTTAAGACTCATTTCTAACAAATTAGGAAGAATTGAATTTCACATTTATTTACATGATAATAATGAACAGTTACCCTAAATTTTGGTAGTCAGGATTTGATTAAGAAACAAATTAATAGTTTCTTTAGCGGGGGTCCTCAACCCCGAATACATACAGCAGGGGGTGAGCAGCAGAGGATGGGGAAAGGCAAGCTTCATCTGTATTTGCAGCTGCTCCCCAGTGTAGCATCACCCGCCTGAGCTCCAACTCAGATCATCAGGCATTAGATTCTCATAGCACCAGTCCCTGGTGCCAGAAAGGTTGGAAACTGATGCTTTATAGCATATGAGAATTATCTATAACTTTAGGGGTCATTTAGAATTGCATTTGTCTTATCTGAAATTTGAATTTAAATTTTGTTTTAGAACAAATTTTCTAGATTAAGTAGAAGTTGTGAGACTAATGTGATCAGCTATCCTTTTAAAAAATAACAGTATTTGCGTTAGATGGACACTTTCTGCTTCAAAATTTTCAAAAGCCAACACATTACAGTGTGAAATGGCTGCTATACATTCAGCATTTACTATGCGGCGGTCATTGTTCTATATACTGTGTTAATTCATTAAATTCTTCCACGAAACTGTATGCAGTAGTTACTATTATAATCCCCCAATTGACAGAGGATTAAACTGAGGTACGTATGGAGTAGTTAATTAACTGGCTTGTGGTCATATAAGTTTTAAACTGGATAAACAACAAAATACTTTATACTTCTTATATGATAAAATCTTTCAATTTTTAGTTTCTCCCACTAGGATGTAAGCTTCAAGTGGGCTACAACTTAGTTTTGTTCACTAACACTTGAAGTTACTTTCTGGCTGTAGTAGACCACAGGAATTATTTGAAAGAATTTCCTTGATGATATCAAATCACCAAGAGACTTGGCTTTGGAAATGTATAAGAATTGCTTTGCTTTAAATTTTACACTTTGTTAGCAATAATGTTCATTTGTTTACCACATCCAAATTAGCTTCAATATTAGTGCTCTTCTGCATACTTTGTGTTATATCTTAATACACTAGTTTATTTAAAAATATTTACCAGCAGCTGTAGCTTCTGTTCATCTCTTTTCCTTTTATGTGTCGGAAATGCGTTGGAGTCACAAGGGAACATGATAAAAATTTGGTCTACCAGAGGTCACACTGTGCATAGCTGAATTGGGAGAAGAAAGTATAGAAAAGCAACTTTTCAGCTATCCTCACAAAAAATGAATAGTGATAACACAATTCTTTAAGTTTTTATCCAAAAGCCTTAGCCTCCCTGGTTGTTGCAATTATTAAAATGAATAAACATACTATTATTTTTAGAAATTACGTTTTCATTCTTAGACTGGAAACAGAACTATTAATATATTTTATGAAATAGGGCTTTGAAATCAAAGGTTTTTTAAATTAATTGTTAGGGGAGGCATAACTTTGCTACTTCTAGCCAGGAGATTCTCATTTAATTTCGAGGTATGCTTTCTCATTTACAGTAATAAAATTGAGAGATGCTAAGACTTGTCTGAATTACCACCACAAGTAAGTGGCAGAGCTAGGATTCAGCTCACATCTGTCTGACTCCAAAGGCCATGCCTTGTCTAATACTGTTTATCATATTTTGCCATTTTCCATGTCTTGTCTTCCTTACATTCCTGAGTCTTAAGTAGAATTTTAAGTTAGCTTGTGGGGTCACTGGGATTGGAGTTTTGGATTGTGGAATAACTGGATGTTTGAATTAAAATGTGGAGGTAATAAAGGATAATTGTTGTGTGACGTAAAAATTAATCTAAAAAAATTTTTGTCTTTAGCTCTCCATTTTCTTTTTATCTTTGGTTACGTGCAGATAAAGACCATTTAGAATGCTTCTTTATAATGGGTTTCATCATGATGATTGTATTTCTTTGAGCTAATTTAGTAAAATTTTCATACACTGATAGTGTTCTTTCTCTATAGTGAAAAAAGACCCGTTTTTCTCAGAATTATAATTTAGAGGTAATGAAGAGAAAAATGAGGACAGAGGTATAAAAGTTAATACTAGGTTTTTTTTAGCATTTTATTAACCAGAGAGTTGGGGGCAATCTAGAAGGCAGCTTTTCTAATTTCTGTTACCTCCTCCTCCCCTCCATCAAATGTTAAATCTAATCCTGCTACTGACACTTTTGGATTATTTACTTCTTTTTGGGAAGGGTGTATTGTAGGAAGCTATAGAGAACTTTGAAAGCATTGATGATTTGCAAGATCCTGTTACTCTTGTTTTACTTAGAAATCTTAGGGAAGAGATGGAAATCTGCAGTTAAACTTGTGACTCCTTAAATTGGTCAGTGAAAGTATGATGCCTCTGGTTTTCATTTTAACATTATTTATTCCTGTGCATTCCGGTCAAAATATTTCACCATTGCTAAAATTGTGCATTTTATCCTCTACCACAAATACCAAGGATGATAATGATATTTTTAGGGCACAGGAAGAAATTTCCCATTATGCACTTTTATAATGAATTTTAATTTGAGGTAAATTTACCTTCAGAAAAATATGAAATACTTTAATCCCAAGTGAAAAAAAAGTTATGAAATAAACCAGTACTAATTAGAATATTTGATTTTAGAATGCATAAAGTAAGTTTATTAATCCTATGTTCTTATTAAAAGATAAGTTAAGCTTAATTAGGAGTCATGAAATCTTTAAAATTTTGGTTTTAAGGTATATGTTTTTTTCTGTACTTAACATTTCTGTACTAAAACTGTTTAGTGTAGGATGAATAAAAATGGTGTTTTTAAGGAGTTGGGAGAGGAAGCCCAAGGACCTTATATATAATACACTGTTCTATCCAGTAAGCAAGCTTAAGAAGGTAGGTTCAAAAGCAAAAATTTTGAAATCTCTCAAGGCTTTCTGATACATTGTGTTACTTAGGTAAAAATGTGAAATGCAACCCCCCAAAAAGTAACTTGGATATTTTTAAAAATTGAGAAAAGGAATAATGCAGTAGGAATATAGACCTGTATTAGGAATACAGACCAGTAAGATAGATACTAGTATAGGTCAGAAAATATAAGTGGAGAGCTCATTTGCGTACAGGTACTTATGAACATTAATGCGAATCCCACTGGAGGGTTTTCTGAATCATTGTTGACTCTGAGAACAGATTGAGAGATTGAAGTGATTCTGTAGATACGAAAGTACTTTGGGAAGTGTAAAGTGCAAAATAGGTGTTATAAATTTAAAAAATCTGTTTTGAAAGTAGGTCGTTATTGAAATAACTAAGCAGAAAAACAAATTGAAGAAGGCGTTAGAAGATTCTCGTGAGGCATTTAGGCTTACAGAATTTTTATGGAAAGAGAAATTAATTAGATGTCTTAAGCTTTAACTATCTGTGTGGATGGTGTAGTATTTCAGTTAACCTAGACATCTAAAGTTGTGCTTTAGTTTAAGTGAAAGCTTATAGCCTAAATGGCTTTTAATGACCCTGAATTTTCTGTTTATATTGATAGAACTCATGTTGCCTGGGGCTATAGTATCTCATTGTTCATCTACAGATGAAAAGATTTATCACTTTGGGCCTAACATACATAAAGTTGGCAAATATAAAATAGTAGGTGTCTGCTGTTTGTCTCTAAACATTCCTAAAAAGTCAACAAGCCATTGCACTATTATTCAAAGCGGTTTTATTTCATTAAAAACATTGAAGTGAAAATTTGTTAATTTTTAAAATGGCTAATTCTAGGAAAACACAAACTATTTTTACTAGAGCAGATATATAAGCAAATGAAAGAGGGGGTTTCACAATTTTTTTATAGGTAATACTTTATAATAGGCTTTTTTCTTGCTGGTATAACTAACATTTATTTTCTGTTTATTTTTAAGACGAGCAAAAATCAAATTAAAGTAGATCTTGTAGATGAGAATTTTACAGAATTAAGAGGAGAAATAGCAGGACCTCCAGACACACCATATGAAGGCAAGTACTTTTTTCTGTATCAAAATATTGTGCGTATTAGAACTTGTCTGAAACATTAAATCAGAATAATCTTAAGAGTATCTATTATAAATTACATGGAAGGTAACTTCATTTGGCTTAGGATATACAGCAATTTTTAAATAATATAGGTAAACTTATCTAGACTGATTTTTCTTACTGAATTTTAGCTAATTTTTTTCTTCCCCAAAATAGATTTAGTAGAGCCAAGTTACAGGTTAATATAGATTAGAATTTGATAGTATAAAAATTTCTATATGTTAAGTTTCTAACATATGGACTATAGATTCTCAGTTACTCTTCATATGGTATCTATAACAAGCCTTGCCTTAAATTTCTGACTGATAAAATATTTATTTTTTGAAAAAAATTCTCCTCCCCTGTTTGTCATTTAGCATTTCATTCACTCATATGTCTTCATACAGGATGTATTCCAGATATTTAATTTTCTTTATTTAGTAAAGATTTGAGTGATTGTTTTAAGTCATACAGAAAAGGAGGCAGTTTTGCTGAACTTTGTGTTCACAAACTAAATCTGTAGTTACTCTACACCATGAAATTGGGTGGTATGATAAAGAAGCGTTATAGCATTTTATTTCCTCATTAGACAATTCTTTGGTAATGAATATTATTATAAATTAGGGTTATGTAGCATAACCAAGGTTCTTGCATATAATAGACATTCAGATATTTGGTAGAAATCATAACAATTTGTAGTAGTAGTATTTATTAAGTTCTTATTTATTAGAGCTTTATATGTAGTTTCTCATTCAATTTTTGAAATAAATCTTATGAGGTAAGTAGTTATCACAGTTTCATATATGAAGAAACTTAAGCTCAGAAGTTAAGTAACTATCTAAAGTCAAACATTTAAATAGCAGAGCTGGGATCTCAGTCTCAGCCTTTGACTTCAAAGCCTGTTTCTCATCACTTTCTGCTTTTGAATTAACCAGGATTGACTGAATATTAGAAGCGGTAGTTATGTCTTAATAGAATGTAGTGGTTCCGTAATTATGTAATGAACAGTTACCTTAAAACTTGCAGAAGAACCTGATATTCTAGAATATTTTGTTTTTGTTCAAATTTTTAAAGACCCTAGAATGTCTTTAGTTATATCCTACTAAACCTTAAATGATAAAATCTTATTTTCTGTTTTATAGTTCATATAAACCATTTTCAGACATTATTTAATTTTTTATATTATTTATTGAGTGCTTCCTATGTGCGAGACCTCATCTGGGTACTTTCATGGGAGCTATTCATTTAGTTCTTTTGATAGTCATTAGATGGATTATAGATCTTTAGTTATCTTATAAAAATCAAGTTCTTGTTAAGACAGTATATTGTATGGGGGAAAAAAATGTTATATTGTTGCTGACATGTACTGTGTAGTTAGACCTAGATGGTTGTATGTACCCACTTTTTTTTCTTATCATTATTCCCTAAACAATACAATATATAACAACTATTTACATAGCATTACAATGTGTTAAGTATTAAAAGTAATCTAGAGATGATTTAAAGTATATGGGAGGATGTACATGGGTTATATGCAAATACTACACCATTTTATATAAGGGACTTGAGTATCTTCAGATTTTAGTAGTGAGGGGAGTGTCCTGGAACCAATCCCTTGCAGATACTGAGGGATGACTGTACTAGCTTCTTTCTGAAAGCAAGCGTTATAAATTTTCTTAAATTACTTTTTTAGGTTATTAAGATGTATTTTAAAAGACAATAGAGCAGTAGCGTTATTGTTCTAGAGCTCTTCTGGCAAATTGATACGTATAAAGGCACTTCCTGAACTAGATAGGCAAGATGTTCATTACCTTCTTGGTTGCATAAGAAAAGTAGATAAATTAAAAAAAATTGGAATATATACACTTATTTTAGGATGATTAAGTTATAAATATACCATATTCTTTGCTAATTAGAAACAAGTTTGGTCATTTTGAAGTGCTTACTTCTGCTAATGCCACTAAGTGAGACATTAGTATTTGATAAGATTAGTTTTAATACGCTTTTTGGCTATATATTTGAGATAGATTAAATTATATTTTTATCATAAAACTATAGAAGAGAAGTTTTCACTTTAAGAAAAGCACTATTCAAAGGCATAAACTTAGCCACATTTTTTTATGAACATGGGTAAACTTTTGATAATATTTATTGCAGATCTCTTACTAGTTTTTAAGTTTTTTTCAATCTGACTAATAACTAAGGCAAAAGTTTACATGTGGGATGTTAAATTGTTTATAACAATTATTAGGTAATGAGGCAGCTGTTTTATGTACTGTTAAAAGTACTCAGATTGAGAAGTAGAATATCCATGGAAAAATTACTGTGTTGTGCATGTTACTTAATTCATTCTCTTTTGTCTTAACAGCTCAATGGAAAAGGAACAATTTAGTTCTTGAACCTTTCTTCCTAAGAGTTGTTTTGAATTTATGGAATTGTTGATATTTTAAAATCTCATCCTTTCCCCATCTTCACTTTGGATTAAGTTAAATTTCAAGATTACAGATTTTTAATAGTAAAAGCTATTCAAGAAGTAAAGTTTTATAATGAAAGCTGTTATAATATGAATAAGGCAGTTTAAAGCTCCCTTAGTTGTATTACTCTGATCTATATCAATCAATGCTATGGTGGTTATATTTTGAAAGTTATCAAATAATCAAGACAGCATATTAATAACATATGAAGTAGAAATAGGATTTGGAGGACTCAAGGGTTCAGAATTATGTATATATCTGGGCTCTCCAAGGAGGAAGAACTTCATATGAAAGGTTATAGAGACACTAATCTGGAATTTAATCAGAAAAAAAGTAAGGTTCTTAGGAAGGAAAAAGAACCTACATATTTCTCAGGCCAAATTTATTATATTATAACTCTGAACATAAACAGTTATCTTTATATTCACAAAATTTCTTCAGATAATCTTCTCTTACCTGTCTTTTTGTTTTTGTTTGTTTGTTTGTTTAGACTGTATTTTACTGCTGCCATATGCTTTTATGATTCAGACATCTAGTCCAACACATGCATCAGTCACTGTGGGATTCTCTTAGAAAGAATTAGCAAGAAAAGAATTGGAACCAAAAAGGGCTTGAAAAAAGTGTTACCAAGTGGATTGCTCTTTTGTTTTTCCCCAGATCCGCATTGATCTATCTATTCCTAACAATAGAGGAGGAGGATTTGAGAAAATTTAGGATATACTGAGAGTTGAATGTATGGAATTTCAAAGTTAATATCTCTCCTGGTGCACAGCTTTTGTTTTATTTTACTTTTTATTATGGAAAATGTCAGATATACATATAAAGCAGCAAATGATATAATGGATTCTCCATGCACTCATCAGCCAGCTTTAATAACTGTCAACTCATGGCCGGTTTTTGATCTGCTCCATCTCTCGATTATTTTGTCATGAATTCCAGGCATAGTTTCTTAAGTAAATATTCCAGTAACACAGTTTTATTTGCTATATTTTGGAATAGTGAATATTCTGTTAATAGTTCATAAAATCTTAGAATTGGAAGGTTCCTTAGAGTTGAGTTTCAAAGCCAGCCTCTCATATACTACAAGACTTCCTTTTTCAGAATTTCCTGAGAGGCAGTTATCTTCACCCCAGGTATGGGAAGCTAGATAAACTTTTTAAAATAACATATTTAGCTGCTAGTTGCTCAAGAACGTTGCCTTCTATACATTACTGGTGACAACAACCTCTTTGTAACAAAGTTTTGTATTTTGTGTACCCATTTAGAGGCAGAAAGCAGTTTTTTTGTTTTTATCTACCTCTTGTTGAATTTTATTTTTAAAATTTTAACAGGAAAGGTTGGCATTTAATTTAGGGCACAAGTTAAAAGTTTGGGACTTTTTTGCACTTGAGAGAACCAGCTAGAAATAGATTTTTCAGTTTATGGCATAATCTATATATCTTTTTTCTCTATACCATCTATACCTTTATACCTCCTTCCCTGCCTGACTTCTGTTTTTTGTTTTGTTTTGTTTTCTTTCCATTTTTTTCTTGTGGATTAGGGGAAACAAAAAGAAACAACCTATACTACTTAATTGTCCCAATGAAATCTTTGGCATTGGATTGTTTGGATTTAATGTATTCATTTATCTGTAACCCTATTATTCACTGATAAGCTAATATAGTTGTTTAAAATGCTGTTCTGTGTGCTTTAAATAACCTTTAAAGACTAGTGCTTTTGATGATTTCCTTTTTTGGATTTCAGCTTTAAAATGAATTTGTTATAATCGAATATAAAGTAGTACATGTTTTAATAAGTTCTATCACTATATTTAGCTTTACATATTTGAGATTAGCAGCATTCTTAACTTTCTGTTTTCCCCATTTTTTAGGAGGAAGATACCAACTAGAGATAAAAATACCAGAAACATATCCATTTAATCCCCCTAAGGTATTGTAAGCCTATTTTTGTGTACAAACTTCTAAAATATATTTCTTGGCCCATTTAATTAATACATATTTTAGTGCTTATTAAAATTACAGTTTTTTTGAGTTGTTGACTGTGTTAATTTAGTGTGGACAAGATTTCAGGTAATGGCAGATGGTTTGCTTCTGAAATTATAATGAAAAGCAAGCTTACTCAGAGGCAGCTAGTAATGTCTCTAGACAGGAATAGGATATGCATCTAACAATGGCTTAAGTTCTAGGTCTGGAAAAACTTAATAGTGTTCCCAGAAATAGAAAATCCCTATACAAATTCTTTCTTTCCTCAAAGAAGTATGTTTTTTTAGGGAAGAGTATGTTCTAAATTTGTTCAACAATTATTTGAGTACTCTGTGCCAATATAGCAATAATTAAGACTTACATTGCCCTTGCTTTCATGGAGCACACATTCCAGCAGGAAGGAAAAAAGAGCATAACTGCAGCTGTAATGAATGTTAAAAGAGGCAATGGAATACTATAGCATCATGTATAGCAAGGAGAACTAACCTAAACTTTTTGACTGAATAGCTTCCTTTGTCTTTACTTTTGCTATCATCACCATTTTAGTTTAGGCATTCAACTTTATTACTTCCCAATTTTGCCTATTATTATTCACCCTTCATCTTTGCTACTCCTATTTATCCTTTGCATTTAAAACCTCCTGCAACCTGACCCCAGTCTTTTCCCTCCTATTCTTCTGTCACCCTCACCTACAGCATGGGTCTCATTTACCAGCCTAGGTTATTTGCTGTTTGTAGACGATGCTTATTCTTTCACACTTTTCTGTCGTTTTCACTTGAATCATTGTTCCTATCATTTAAAATTTAAGTTTTCTTTTGAGGTATAGGTAAAGTATCATTCTCCATTAAGCTATGCCCATCAAATTGTTTCTCCCTCTACTCTCTCAATAGCATTTTATATAACTTATGCCGTACCAAAACAAACTTGGTACCAATTAGTGTATTCTGTTATTTGAGCGTATGTATCTTTCACTAACTTTTATGCTCTTAAAGTGAAGGACCATATATATGCCTTTATATTTTCTGTGGCTCCTAACAGTGTACTGTCCCTTGAACATGATAGTAGTCACTCAGAAAATGTTTTGGAATTCACTTATTCTGTATGCTGGTTGTAGACACAGTAGTGGAAGAATAGACACAGTAATGGAAGTTCAGGGTGAGTTTAGGCCATATACCAGTGGGGGTGTCTATTATTCTGTTGCTTATATACATCTATTTTCTGATAAGCCTGTTTTTTTTGTTTTTTGTTTTTTTAATGCATAATGTATATAACAAAATTCATAATTTTAACCATTTCTAAGTGTGTAGATTAGTGGCATTAAGTATACTGATGTGCAGCCATCACTATCGTCCATCTCCAGAACATTCTCATTTTTCTATTAAACAATAACTCCCTGTTATACCATGCCCCCAGCTCCTGGTAACCACTGTTCTACTTTCTCTGTATGAATTCGATTGCCCTAGGTACCTCATTTAAGTGGAATCATACAATATTGTCTTTTTGTATTCGGCTTATTTCACTTAGCATAATGTCTTCAAGATTCATCCATATTATAGCATGTGTCAGAATTCCATTGCTTTTTAATGCTAAATGGTATTGCATTGTACATATATACCACATTTTGTTTATCCATTTGGCCATTGTGTACGTTTTAGTTGTTTCTACCTTTTAAGTTTGGTTGATTTTATTTTCTTCATTTTTTTTCATATTATAAAAGTAGTTTGTGTTTATTAAATGAGTGATGTACAAAAAAAGAAAACAGTTGGTCAGTATGTCTTAGAGATGTCCACTATTAAGCTTTCATCTTATATCTGTGACTTAATTTTAATCTTCATCCTGGTTGCTGTCCACTGGATTCAGTCAAGGTTCCCAATATTATCATTAGAATGAGTAGTCACTTGAGAGTGCTTTAATTGGAGAATACCATGAATTTAATTAAGAAAAGAAGTTTTTAAAATGTTTAGAGTTAAGGATGACCCCATAGCCTATTTTTTTTAAATGAAAATGAGGAAGAAATAAAGACCTCAATAGAGACTGCTTTCAACCACTACATTATTACTCTTAAATAATGATAGTAACAGCTGTCACTTGCTTTGTGCTAAGAATTATATGTGCCATTTCTGAAACATTCTTTAAAATGGTCCTAATTAATGAAGGAACTTAGGCTAGAGGTTAAATAGAACCCAGATCCCAAAAAGCCCACTGTGTTCTTCCTCCATGATCCTGATGAGGAAGGAGAAAGGGCAGAATCTCTGAAACAGTGAATATGATTCTGCCAAGAACAAGAACATTTAGCCAGAGTGCAAATCTTTCTTCTGCCATTTATCTGGCCTTGTGATTTTAGACAAGCTATCTAACTGCTGTGTACCTCAGTTTCCTCATCTGTAAAGTCCTCTCATAGGATTGTAAAGATTAAAAGAGTTAATCTATGTAAAACTGGGGTCCCCAACCCCTAGGCCACGGACCAGTACCGGTCTGTGGCCTGTTAGGAACTGGGCCGCACAGCCAGAGGTGAGTGATGGGCAAGTGAGCAAAGCTTCATTTATATATGCAGCTGCTCCCCAACACTAGCCTCAGCTTTACCTCAGATAATCAGGCATCAGATTCTCATAGGAGCACTGGTCCCCGGCGCCAAAAAGGTTGGAGCCCACTGAAAAGAACTATATTTCAATAATTCTGGGAAACATTTCTCATATTTTTAACGCCTCTGAAATCAGGTTACATCTTTCAAGGGATGGTGTGTCATAATTTTATTGGCAACGTTTTTTCATAGGGGGTACGTACAGTAATGGCATATCAAATAATTGATGGTACCTGAGATTTAATGAAATATAATACTTAGAACAGTGCCTGCATAGAGTTAAGCACTCTAGAAATATTAGCTAGCATTAACCAATGACTATCACCCTAAGAGGCCTCTCTTGGAGTAGTCTTTTTGGTTTTGCAATATGGTAGCATTGACACTTAAATTTCCTCTATAAATTGAAATTTTCATACAGTGCTAGTGGGAACATAAAATATTGGAGGTACTTTGGGAAATAATTTGGTTAAAATGGTAAGTGTAGAGTTATCTTATGACCTAGGAATTCTCCTTCTATGTATCTCCCGATAGAGATGAAAAACATGTTCACACAACAACTTGTACAAAAATGTTTATACTCTCACAATTCATAATAGCTAAAAAGTGGAATTGACCTAACTGTCCGTCAACTGAATGTTATTTGGTTATAAAAACGAATGAAGTACTTACATGTGGTACAAGATAGATGAACTTTGAAAACATCATGCTTAATCAAAGAAGCCAGACACAAAAGGCCACACATTGTATGATTCTATTTATATGAAACATTAGAAGAAGCAAATCCATAGACAAAAAAATAGATTGGTAGTTGCTTGGACTGGGGGTTAGGGGTGTGGAGGAATGGAGAGTGACTGCTCATGGTTACGTGGTTTCTTTTTGAGGTGATGAAATCATCAAAATTAGATTGCGGTGATGGTTGCACTCTGAATATACTAAAAACCATGAAGTTGTGCAATTCATGTGGTCTCAAAAGTCTTTGAAATCTTGCCATCTACAACTTGGATGGACCCAGAGGTTATTGTGCTGAGTGGAGTAAGTCAGAGAAAGACAAATGGCATATGATTTCACTTATATGTGGAATCTAATGAACAAACAAAACAGAAACAAACTCATAGATACAGAGAACATTTTGTTGGTTGCCAGATGTAGGGAGAGGTTAAAGGGATGGGTGAAAAAGGGGAAGAGATTAAGCAGTACAAATAGGTAGTTACAAGAGTCATGGGGATGTAAAGTATACCATAAGAAATATAGTCAATATTGTAATAACTGTATGGTGTTAGATGGGTACTAGATTTATTGGGGTAGTCACTTAGTAGATTATATAGATGTCTAATCATTATATTGTACATCTGAAACTAATATTGTATATTAACTGTAATTGAAAAAAAAATTATTAAAAGTGATTATTTTCCTCTGTAGTCTATAATTAGCTTCAAAATGATTGTGTGGTTCTGGCTGTTTTAGGCACTAACTTAGGCATTATTTGGGGATTATTACATTTAATCTTTGAAATCTGTTTTATTAATCCCTCCTGCCCCCACTCCTTTTTAGTACAGTGAGAAATATAGACTCAAAACATGAGAACTGGGGTCTGTGTGATGTTTTGCTACTACTACTAGCTCATGTTGTTCTTTAGGCCACTACTATCCTAATTTCAGCCATTCTATATTGAGGTAGCTTCAAGATTCAGAAAGGTCTTCCTTTAATCAACCCAAATTTGTCTCCCTCTGGCTTTATCCAGTTAGTCATTTAGTAATTGGAATTTAGTATTTTTAAAAATATGGTCCTCATCTCATTTATGGTATTAAGCTTTTGCAATAAATATTAATGGGCATATGAGAAATATGTTCTAGATACAGAGATTTGAATTTTTTACTGATTGGTAAATATAATGGAGAGAATGGAGGATACTTTATGTAAACTTGCTGAATTCTGTTCACATATGTTTAATATGTAGGCTCAGGTTTAAATTTAAGCCTTATGAGGTAAAAAGTATTGAAGTTAGTGGTTATATTCTCTTACTACTGTGCAGCTAAAACTGCACAAAATTGAAAACTTACATTGATTTGGCTTAACATGGCCTCAGTATTTTCTATTATTATTCTGTAATAAATTATTGCCCGGAAGAGTAAAAGATTTACTTCTAGACAGAAAAAATGGTCTTTGAAGCAGCTGAATATAGTGTAGAAGAAATTTGATTCAATGCATACACTGTTATTTCTAAAGTAAATTCTAATTTATATTCTATTAACGAAAAACCCATTAAATTAGAAAAACCAGTTCAATGATTTGTCTAGTTACATATTAGTGATTAGGTTGTGAATTTTCTTCTCTATCCTTGGTGTTATAAACATACTTTTATATGTGAAATTGAGTATAAATTCCACTGCTCATAGCCTTTAATGAATCCGCTCATCTGCACATGCATCTTTAAAATAAAATAGCATTTTCGTTTGTACAGTAAGATAGATGAAGCTAGTTTCATATAGTAACATCCTTGAGTTCCAGGTTTGAAACTGGAAATTCTCAGTGAGCTCACATTTACCATAAAGTAGTTGCTGAAATATTTGTTGAACTAAAGAGTGAATGAATATAGGATGCATATATTCATGCACCCCATAGGAGGAGATAAGACTACTGATGATGATGTGCTGGTATCAACTAAGAATAGTTCTTTCATTTCAGTTTGGTAAAACCATGTAAATAGTATTAAGATTTTTGTTTCTATTCTTTGACTGCGCCTCAAAGCTAATGAATGTTCTGAAGTTAACTCAAATGGTGCTAATTCAATTAGCTTTGTTTGTGAAAATAAGGCGACTTGAATTGTTACTGGTAAATGTTTTAGTACTGTAAACCATCCCATATCTGTTTCGTAATCAAAGTCAAATGTGACTCAAGTAGATCATAGTAAATATATAGAGAGATTTGAATTTTTTACTGATTGGTACTGTATCATTACTTACTCTTACACTTCATTCCTTTCAAGTTCTTTTGATTCTACATTTTTGTTACAGGACAGTGATGGTGGCACTGTGGGTGGCACTGTGGGAGAAAGTGACATACAGTGGATGTGAACTGGGTATAGAATAATAGGACATAATTCAGGATACATGTGGGTACCACTGGTGACATTAAAGTTTGAGATAGAGAAGTGCAAAATCTAATAAAGGAGGTAGTTGATAAAGAATAACAAGAGCAGAGTATGAGATAGAGTGGTAGACCACATAAGAACTACTTATTAGACAGTTATATTTGTATTGATGGATAATGGAGTGTCCTCTGAAAATTAAATTCTTTATTACACCATCTGCAAATTTAAAGCTATTTATTCCTAATTATATATATAATACAGAGTAGGGAATAGTTTAATAATTTCCTTAGTTCTGTATATATGCATGCTTTTCATGTAGTGTCTATAGAGAATTGTGTATTGAAGACTTCTTTAAAAAGCAAGATGTACAGCTCACATAGCCTTAGATCACTTGCTTAAACCATAAACCTTCTGACATCTTCAGTGGTAATTTAAAATTCTGTTTTTCATTCTTGTTGAAAATATGAACAACTTTTGTTTTAAAGTCACAAAATACTGAAATGGCTAAGTTATTGAAATTATGGCATATGGTTATTTTGTATCAATGCTTTGAACTTAATGAATGGTAAAAATTAAGATGTGGATATTATGGGTTATATCTGTTATGAAGAAATGTTTATTGTACATAAACACTCTATGTCTCTTAGTTGATCTGCATCATATCCAGGTGGGATACTATTTAGCCTTATAATTAACAGGTTTGCCATAATGTTAATTGCATATTCATTCAGCATTAGACACTTTAGATACTTGGCATGCTCTAATAAGCAGGACAGATACTGGGCCTTTTAGGGAAGAGATAAATAAGAAAGAGATTATAGAAGTGTGATCAGGACTATCACATAAGAAAGTACAGGTGCTGTGGAAACAGTGATATGGAAGAAGTGATATGGAAGCTGAAACTTGAAGGATAAGTAGGAGTTAGCCAGAAGAGGGCGCAGAGATGTGTTACTGAGAGAAGAAACATGTATAGGCCCCAAGGCAAAAAGAAAAAAATTTTAATATGACTTGTTGAGCAAGTGCATGGAATACGGGGTGGAAGTGAGAGGTACGTTAGGGCCAGTTTATGAATGTGTATTTGTTTACATAAAGGGAATGAGAAGTCATTAAAGGGCCTTAAATAGAGGAATGACATGAATCAGATTTGTTTTCAAGGGCTCCCTTTGGTTTTAGTGTGGGGAATGGATTAGATGGAGCAAAACTGAAGGCAGTAAAGTCAGTAGACTGTTCAGTAACCCAGGTGAAGAATAATAGTTTCTTTTAATGAGATGGTGGTCCTGTGGATGGAGAGAAGTAGATATCATTGAAATCATTAAGAGTATTTTAAGTAAAAAGGATCAAGGTATGGCAAATGTCCATTTGTTTTAGGTGTTTTGAAGTCATTCATGACTTAAAGTGCTTTTTCAGATGGCATATATGTTAGTAGGTGAGAAAGTAGGTATGGGTAGTACAGACAAATCAAGTCACAAGGAGCGAAGTAGAAACTGTTTAACGTCTTTCCATAAATAGCTTAGATTCGGAGCATATATTGATGAGTTAATTTTTGTAAAGTACTTAGAATGTTCCTTGGCTCATAGTAATCTGTTACGTGTAAAGGAATTTTGACTCAAATCACTATTATGTGTCAGATATAATAATAATCCTCCACAAGCTCGTAAGTAAGAGCTGATGAATTAGATTTCATTTCACAGTGATCTGATAAGAGTTAGCATTTTCACTTTGTTCGTTTTGTGTTTTTCTATGCTAAGATAAATAGGTGAGTAGAGACTCAAAATCTTAGATTGTATGAGTTTTCATTTTGTTCTATTGCTAACTAGTTATTTAATTTTAAATAAATATCTTAAACTCTAAGCCTCAGTGTCTATAATAGACCCTCAAATATTTGTTGAATTATTTTTAAAAAAGAATTTGAGAAAAAAATTGCTATGGAAAAAATAGGAGCAATCTTACAATCACTACTTGTGCTTCCACATACTACTGATTTTGCCTACTTTTTCTTCAAACCTATTTACACCCTACTTTGCCCTAAAAAAAGTTGTCATTTACTATCTATATTTTGATTTTATGTACACTTTATTTACTTAAGTGGATTTTAGTCCGTGTTGTATTTCTCATAGCATCTAACATTATGCTAGATAAATTGTAAACACCTAGTAATTGTTGGGTTTCTTTAAAGGCGGAGCATTTATTAAAAGGTTTAAAAAGAAATGTACGTCAGTAACAACATTTGGCTTAACTAAATGCTTTGTCTTCTACACCCCTCCCTTCACTTAGGCAAAATGATGTAATGTAAGTATGGACATTTTTTTTTAATCTGAGGATTTCATTTTCTTGCAGTTCTATTTAAACTATATATGTTTTATTTTTGTTACTTAAAAACTCAAGTGTGCTTTATATTTCTAGGTCCGGTTTATCACTAAAATATGGCATCCTAATATTAGCTCTGTCACGGGGGCTATTTGTTTGGATATCCTGAAAGATCAGTGGTAAGAGATTTTGAATTTACCTTCTCCTCTCCCTCATGTGAATTCCAACACTATAACAATATATTTAGATTGCTAAATGAGTAACTGCCTCAAAACAAAAGCATATATTATACTTTCTCTTGTTTGGCAATAATATTACAACTTTATGAAGTCTCTTAAGTACATAATTGAAAATGTGTGATAATTGAGATCACAACCTATATTTACTTATTGGATAGTGTCAGGTGCTAGCTTTACATCTTGAAAAGTCTTTGTTATTTTGGTAAATTTTATTCTTTGCTATCTCAAGAAGATATTTGTGAAAGATGTATTGCGAAGTAATCAGTTCTGACTTGGACAGAAAGTGGGTAACAAAAGTGTTAAAAGTTGTGTTATTTGAGCACAGTTAAGGTTCTCAGATTCTAAGAAGGAATACTTTTGTAGGTGATATCTTCATTTGCATAGGAATTTATAGTGCTGTTATTTTATTTATTTCTTTTTGTCTGAGTAGATCTTAGCAGTATAATGTTTTAACTTCTTACTCTGGAACCATTATGTTCAAATCCTGACTCGGCCATTTACTAAGCTGTGGGTTCCTGAGAAAATCACTTACTCTTTGTGCCTTAGTTTCCTCATCTGAAAAAAGTGGGGTTTATACCTACTTAATAGTATTGAGAGGATTAAATGAGTTGTTTTATATAATTCTCTTAGACTAGAGCCTGGCTTGTTCTAAAACTATGGATGGAAAGACTAAGACAAGAGGTATAAAAAGATATTGGAGTGAGAGGAAACAGTAATAAGTTCGTTTGTTAAGGAAGCAAAAGAATGGAAACAGGAATGATAACATTCAGTGTATGGATGATTTGGTATATTTAGTAACTGGAGTTTCAGGTTTAGTTTTGTTTTCTTTTTCCATCCTAATAGCACATCTGAGTAAGGCCTCTCCCTCAGTAGGTCATCATTTGAGATCTGATTTCTCGATCTATATTCCATACTGTTAAATATTGGACAGTGTGGAATACACCTAATTATCTTCTGTCATTCATTTGATTTTTGACTTTTCATAACTTACTGAATTTTTTGGCCTCAGCGTTTTTACCTATGAAGTCATCTCCAAGGCCCCCAGCTCTAATTAATGTATTAATGTATATTTGTAGTATTAGAGACATCTTACTTTTTTTCATTTGGTTTCTAGGATATCAGTTCTGTTCTTCCCTTCCTGTGCCCACCTCCAGACTCCTTAACTGTTTCCTCCCTCCTCTCCTAGAGCTTTGCACATGAGAATGCCTCAGGGCTAAGTCTTGACCTTTGCTCCTTTCCATCTGTACTCAGTTCCTTGGTGAGCTCATCTGATCTCATGACTTTACTATTTACATACTAGCAACTCGCAAATTTATCTTTCCTAAACTCTAGACTCATGTCCTGCTACCTTCTTAACATACTGGAATATGTAATGGACATCACAAACTTAAACATGTTGAAAACTCAGATACCCTCCTAACCAAAACCTGCTTCACCTCATCTATGTTATTGACATCTTTGCAGTTTCTCAGACCAAAACCTCATCACACTCCTTGAGTCTTCATTCTCTGGTACCCTGTACCCTGTTTGCAAATCCTGTTGGTAAAACCTCGCAAAATCTTAGCAGCTTTACTACTAACACCTCGGTCCAAGTTTCATTACCTCTCGCCTGAATGATTACTGTGTACTGCCTCTATGCTCTAACTTTCCCCTACTTAGTCTCTTCTCAATGGGAATGATACTCTCCCTCCTACCTGTCCCCTTAAAAACAAAGCTCCAAACTAAAATCTTCCACTGACTTTCCTCTTTGCTCAGAGTTAAGCCAGCAATACTACCACTTTTTATTATTTCTCTATTGATAGTTGAAAGATTATGACGAGTATATAGGGAGAGAGTTGAATTTTTGTACCAAAAAAACTTTTTTTATCAACTATTTTCATTTCCTAAGACAGGTGAAATAGCTAGCTGGATTTAGTCTTGTTTGATATCTGTACAATTGAAATATTAAATGATATCAAAGATACTTCAGATGAAATAGGTGGGATTGGATATCCATAAGTTCGTTCTCTCCTTGCCCTCCCCAGCTTTATTGAGATATAATTTAGTGGCTATCCATGTTTAAGTGTGAATGTTTAGGCTTCAGAACTGGAATTTGAAGACAACTACAGGATAATATTTGGGAAAAATAATTTGAATAAACTGAATATTTTGGGACAGATATGCAAGAAAATTTATTAATCTTTTATAAATGCATATGGATGGTGATTTACCTTTAATATTTAACAACTTACGTATGTGTGATTTATTTCTTAACTCTATAATTTAGCCTGTGCGGAAACTATTTTCTGATTTTTTTCCCCCACTGACACCTGTTACGACTAATGATGTCTATTTACCTGGGGAAGAAAATGACAACACATAAAAATTTTATTCAGTGATACTACTCTTCCATAATGAACAGGCATTAAGAGAATATGTAGATGGTCAATAAGCTATGCTCAGCATCATTAGTCATCAGGGAAATGCAAATGAAAATCACAGTTAGATACTACTATACACTTGTAAATGGTTCCTGTGAATTGCAGGTAGGAATGTGGTTTAACCACTCAACCAGTAATAGCTACCAAAACTAAACATACACTATCAATATGACCCAGCACTTCAACTCCTAGGCATATATCCAAGAGAAATTCAAGAGAAATGAATGCATAGATCTACCATAGGTCTACTGGTACAAGAATATTTATAGCAGATTTATTCAAATTGGAAATAACCTAAATGTCTATCAACAAGATAATGGATATATAATGGCATAATTATACAGTGGAACACTACATATTAATAAAAAGTGTATCAACATAGCATGGATGATTCTCACAGACATGCTGAGTAACAGAAGCCAGACACAATGAGCTAAGTACTGTATAATTCTGCTTTATAAAATTCAAGATAAGCCAGAACTAATTTATGGTTATAGAAATTAGGACAGTAGTGTGGGGATAAGCAAGGATTGTGAATGGGAGGGTCAGGAGTCAGTCTTTTGAGTGCTGGCAATATTCTTTATTTTGATCGTGGTGGTGGTTGCATGGCTGTATACATAAATAAAAATTTATCCAGCTATACAGCATTTTACTCTGCTCTTAATACTTTAATAAAAAATTATAACAGAACTACCATTCTCTTTAGCATTCAGTGTTTTAAATAAATGTAGATTATTTATCGATGATCTTCTGGAAGATCCTTAACAGAGAAATTAGTCAACAATACAAACAGTTCACATGCTTGTTCTACATGCTAAAGGCCGTAATGAGTCCATATGAATGAATATTTAAATAGTCATGAGTTAACTGCTTTTGATATCAGCAAAATTAATTGAGTGGAAATAGACTTATATGGTACTCATTGATATCCACTGATTTCATTAAAATTAGCTAACATTTTGAAATTTCTTACTCCTGTTTGCCTGTTAGGATTTGTTTTTAATAGATTTAGGCTAGTTTTACACACTGAGTCCTAAAAATCTCAATGCAATATGAATTTAATCAGTACTTTGTGAAAAGAACAATAAATGGAACAAAATATTGTATTTTCAGTTGTGTAGTTTTTTTCTATTACTAAATTTAGATTTAAAAATTTGAACAGTCAAAAAATGTATACATTTCTTTATACCATCAAAGATGTTGTAGTGTCTATAGTGTTTAGGGCTGGGAGAGCAGGTTTCATTTTGATATTAATTTTGTTTTAAACTTATTAAAACTTTGCATTTAGATTTTTTCTGCCACATGGTGTCATTTTTACAGAATTCATAAAACTATTTTCAAAAGAAAAAGTGCTAGATAATCTATATTTGCTGAAAGGTTTAGAATGCTTTATTCAGCTAATTCTTTTTTTTAATTAAATTTTACTTTGAAATGATTACGAACTTATAGAAAAGTTGAAACTATTTTTTAAAAAGTAGCCAAAATCTTTTACCTGAATGACTTGAGAGTAAATTACTGACCTGATACCCTACCACACCTGAATACTCTAAAGGGTTCAACCAATTCTTAATGGTTTATAAACACTACCCAACATTTTTTAATGAAAATATTTAAGCATACTGAAAACATAACCTTTTCTCATTGAGACTGAGAAAATTGTTATGAATTGAATCAAAATTACAGCTCCAGATTTTTCCTTTAGTTTTGAGGGCAAACTATTCCTTTTAACATGTCCTTAGTTTCTGATTCTTGAAGTGGTAACTCCAGAGATCTGTAATAGTTTGCGTCTTCCCAATAAAGACTTCAAATAAAAGAGCTTATAAATATCTAAGGGAAGAATTTATCACTTAAATTTTTTTTAAATATTTAATTGTAAAATACGTGACATAAAATTTGCTATCTTGTTTTTTGTACATTGACATAGAATATTGTAATCTCAACTGTTTTAAAGTGTAGTTGAGTAATAAGGGTTTCACATTGTTGCGCAACCAGTCTCCAGAACTTGTTTTTTTTTAAAAAAACAAAAAAACAAAAAAACCCCCAAGACTTTACATTTTGTTAGAGCAGTTTCAGGTTCAGAGCAAATTTGAGAGAAAGGTAGAGATTTCCCATATACACCCTGTCCACACACATGCGTAGCCTCCCCTATTATCAGCATTCTCTCTACCAGAGTGGTATATTTGTTGTAGTTGATGAACCTACAATGATACATCCCAATCACCCAAAATCCATAGTTTATGTTATAGTTCACTCTTGTACATTCTGTGTGTTGGAACAAATGTATAATGCTATATGTACTCATCATTATGGTAAAGTATACTTTCTCTGCCTTAAAATTCCTCTGGGCTCTGCCTCTTCTCTCCACCCTATCCCTCCTCTCGCAGAACTCTTTCAGCTTGCGAAACTTAAATTATTTACCCCTTAAGCTTCCCATTCCACCCTCCCTCCAGCCCATTAGAACCGCCATTATACTTGTTGTCTTTATGAATCATAGTGTTTTTTTTTATTCCTGGCTTCACTTAACACAATGTCCTAAGAATTCATCCATGTTGTAACAGGTGTCAGATTTTCTTTATAGGGCAGAATAATATTCCACTCTATGTGTATACCACATTTTGTATACTCAGTTGATTTGCTTCTACTTTTTGGCTATTATGAATAAATCTTATTATGACCATGGGTGTACACATATGTTTGAGGCTTTGCTTTCGATTATTTTGGGTATGTATCCAGAAGTGGAATTGCTGTATGTTTTCAGGTTTTTTTTTTTTAATTGCCATATTGTTTTCTGTAACAGTCGCTCCATTTTGCATTCCCACCAACAGTACACAAAGATTCCAGTTACTCCACCTCTTAATCAACAACTATTTATATATAATA